TTTTACCCACACTGCCCCTCATTGTCTTCCTCAGTTGCAAGGATTGTAGGATTAGAATCTGAACTGATCTAATATAAGAGGGTGATTAGGTTCAATAAATCTGACATGTTGTGGTTCAACACAAGTCCCATCCATCCATTATCTATACCCGCTTCTTCCTTTCAGGGTCACAGGGGTCAGTGGTGCCCATCTCCAGCAGTCACAGTGCGAGGGGCGGGGTACACCCTAGACAGGTCGCAAGTCCATCACAAACATTGCAAGATCAATATTGCCTTCAAACTCAAGAAGGTTTCCAAATTTTATGCTATCCAGTCACGCTCTAAAAGGTCAAGTAGGTCGTGGAAAGAATATTGAAACAGACAAAAATGCAATAAATAAAACAAATGGTTAATTAAATATCTGTTCTCTTTTTACTTCATTAAAGTCTGGTTTATGCTTTGTCGTCTCCTTCCCCCTGCTCAACAATAAAAAAAAATTGCGGAACTTTCGTCTGCTCTCCTGCTGCTATCCCCCAGTGACAGCCGTCATGTACATTGCCCCCAGTCTGCGATGCGGATCATGAGGCTCAGAGTGTGTGATTGGTTAGAACTTTGTGGGTGTGTCTGTTCATGAACAGCAAGGCAGCGCTGAGGCGCAGGACCAGAGCAAGACTCACTTCTGCAGGTTATTTTGTTTAAAATGTTTTTTTTGTCTGAAGCATGTTGTTAAAAGAGCTAGATGAGCAGCTGGTTTGATCGCATGCAGCTGATTTTCATGTCATGTATATAGATTATTTCTCCACAGACTTTTCACTCACCACAACACTTATCGCTAAGTGAAAAAAGCAAAACAAAACCCACAATATTCAGCCATCATTTTTGTTGTTTATATACAGAGTTGCACATAAGTTGTGTGCAGGTGTGCATGCGCGATCAAAAAAAGGAAAAAGCGCACCTGATGTAATGTCATAAAGTGCACTTGCGTACCTAAGATTGTACCTGATTGTCTGTCAAAACAACAGTTAGCAGGGCTCTAGAGTGCGAACACTTTGGTGGCAAATGTGACTTCATTTAAAAAAAAAATCCAGCCGCACTCGTGCTAATGGATTGTTGTTTGGTGCTCACCAAGCCGACAACGGGACCCTGACATAAGGATTAAATGGACACTACCTTCAAAAAATCAGAYGAAGTCCAGAGCCATTTTATCCAATCAGAGCAGAGCAGGGTGGGACTTTCAGTGAGAGCAAGTTTGGTTGAAGCARCGGCTGCTGCAGTCAGACTTTGCATGCAAAACTGGTTCCTTTGGCTGCTCAGAACGCRTTTGGTGGTGGGAACCCGGCTTGACATCTCCTCCTGCACTTTGTTCCTGAGCTACCTGGACTTTGGTCTGTAAAACCTAACTTTATATTAAAGTGTATCTTACCCCCCTCCCCCCATGAAAAGATAACTCCGCCCCAAGGTGAAATTTGAAAAATGCATTAAAGTGGGTAGGGGAGGGGGGGTTG